GAATGTTCCGATATATTACCGACAAAGCGTTCCGACAATATTAGTAGTCGGAGTGTACCGACTTATTTCCGAGAAAATGAGTTTCCGAGACCCAAACGCCGACTAAAATTTGATTGTCGGAATGTAGTAGGAAATGCTCGTTACCGAGAAACTTCTGATGTATGTGGCTGTCGGAAATTGGGCATTATTCTTGTAGTGATAAGATATTTTTTGCAATAATGTAATCAAATAGACAAGTAGCACTTAATAATCAAACAATAATGGAAAACTGCAATAAAGGGACTATATAACCAAAATAAAGAAATAAAATAAAATTCAAACACATATTCTCTATGTTTCTAAGTAATATATTTTTATTCATATCAAAAAATACATTAAAATTTAATCATAATTACATTTTTTATGACCAAATATCTTTATAATTGTATATAATAGTAATTTAATTGATTTACTTACCTTTTAAAGAATAGAATTTATCATCATTAACTAATAAATTGTATATAAATTCTAAAACATTAATTTTTGAAAATGGTGAAAATGTCACTTTCTTTTATTTGATAGAAACAATATGATATGAGAAAGGCCAAGTAATAGAGTTTTTTGAGTTTTCTTTACTGAATGTATTTATTTTCTTTTCTGATTTCACGCAAATATTATATCCTAACTTTGTAACTTCAAATGATATATAATTCAATTTTTGTTGGAAAGAAGTCATATTGAGCAAAGGGAGGAAAAACAAACCCAAATTAGATGTAACCAAAAACTATTTCCTAGTCATCATTTTTTTCTTGTCTTGTCCTAATTTACAACTTGCCAATTTAATAGAAATTTTGAAAAGAAACAAATCTAAAAAAAGAAGAAAAAATGAAAATTTGTCACAAGGCGTTAATTATCGCCTGCTTCTTGGAACACCCCAAGGCAAACAAATCAGCTTCCCGAGATCTCTTCTTGCCATCGTTCGGTATAGCGTTAGTCGTCGCGTTGAAAATATTAACCCCGAATAGCCTAACCACACTCTTAACCGGTGTAATTTCTTCCGTACCGGACTGGACTTTCCAGTCGATATACAATTGTCGGTCCGGTCCGGTCGACCTCTCGAAGCAAACCACATCACCGGCTCGGAGATTCTTCTCTTTAACGAACCGGCTCCATCCTTTGGTCAACACGTAACTTTGACTGCTGTTCCAGTACGAGTAACGGAACCGCCACACTTTCCCTGTCCTGTCTTCCAAATTAATCAAAACTCCTTTCGTCGGAGACGGAGACGGAGTCATCGCCGTCGTCACCACCGTCGCCGTCGTCATCGCCGGTAACGGAAAATGCTTCTCCGCGTGTTGTTTCGGTATCACCAACCGGTTAAGCTTCCCGACGTCGCTAGGTGTAACGGCTTTCTCGAAAAGAACTTCACGCGCCCTCGAAACGCCGTCGTTCACCGTTATCGCCGTCCCTGACCGTTTTCCGTTACCGTTACCGTCAAGAAACTTCCTTTTGCTCTGTTGAAGCTCGTCGGCGTAAGTGTGTTTCCTCAACATATCAACGATCTCAGCCTTGGAGTGAGCGTCAAGAAACGCAGATTCAGCGTCGGCTCCGTCGATCGCCGCCGGCGACTTGAAGTTCGTGACGGCGTCGCGGCCGCGGAATCTCCGAGCGGCGATATCGTAAGAAGCGGCGGCTTCTTCCTCCTCGTTGAAAGTGCCGAGCCAGACACGCTGATGCTTCTCGTAAATCTGAGCGCCCCATCTTCCGTTAGGCTGAGGAACAACGCCTTTGAACTTCGACGACGGGAGCTTACGTGACTCGGTCTCGACGCCGTTCTCTGAGTCCAGCACCACGCTGCTTCCGCCGCTTCCCATTCTGTAGAGACGCATCGTCGTCGGAGGAGGAGGAGGGGGAGAGAGTTTCTTCTTCGCCGAGGGAGTAGAGATGGAGAGAGAGCCTGAAGTGTTGCTAGTACTGTCATCTATACAGCTGTTATCCATTTGTCTGAATAAGAGAATGGGTTCTAGAGAGAGAGAGAGAAATGGGCTGTGTTGGTTTATCAAGAGATGGGGTTGGAGTGTATATATATATATACAGGGAAGTGCATGTACGTTCCCTTTGATATTAATTATATGTTTTTGTTGTGTTTGTCAAAATATGATAGGATATTAGAAAGATAAATGTAAAATGTGGGTGATGTATATAAAAGAATAAGATAAAATGATTATTAAAAAAGGGAAGGTGCAGAAGAGTAGGGTCAAGTCTTGCAAGAATGGCAACATGATATAGTTAGAGGAAGTTTCATGGGAAGAGATGAGGAGAGTCAGTCCAAAAATATGGGTACTAGTGTTATACGGTCTTTTTTACTTTGGTACCTTTTAATTGGTCCTTTTTTTTTTTGGCACAATTAATTCCTTATTCGTTTTTTTCTTTTTCTTTTGGTAAAATCATTATTTTATATATTTGTTTTCTTTTGTAACATTATTTACATATTGGCAATGAATGTTGTGTCTATATCAACTGTATAATGAACATGTACATTATGATGGAATCAATTTCTGTAAATTTCACTACGAGACAAAGAATAATACAACAATGAGATTCTTAATGCATTCAGATTTGAGAACCAAAAATAGGACTAACAAAAACCATATAAATTATATTGAAAACAATGGTGAATAATAGTATAAATCTCTTTTTCTATTATTCATTTTCTTTTACAGTCCAGTTAGTTTCAAGGAAAAAAAACCTTGTTTAAACAGAGAGTGGTAATTATCTGAAATATGGTTGTCCAGTGGTACTGGTAACATTGGGATGGAATTTGTTTTTCTAAATTTCACTATGAGACAAAGAATAATACTAATGATGAGATTCTTGATGCATTCAAATTTGAGAACCGAAAATAGGACTAAAAAGCCATATAATAACACTAAAAACAATGGTGAATAATAGTCTAAGTTTTTTTATGTTAATCATTTCGTTTTACAGTTCGATTAGTTTCAAGGAAAAAAAACTTGTTTAAACAGAGAGTAGTAATCGTCAATGGTAAGGAGTAAGGACGGGTTCTTTTGTGCATCCCAATTCTGAGTTCAAATCCTATTGAAAAGAATTAATGCACGATTTTTTCTGGACATCTTCATACAGAATATGGATCTTGCTTTCGGTCTATTTTCAAATCTGATGTACGAGTCTATCAGTGAATCATGTGTCTCCAAAAAATAGTTTGAATTTGTTTAGGTCTGAATGACTCATGAGTAATCTGCAAATCTTGTGACCCGAATGGTCCATATGGAAACGGAGACTTGTAGAAATATGTGTAATTGTTGCTTAGAGTTGACTAGTTGATTGATACATAAAACAAAAGAAAAATGAATAATGGGCAATGTGTCGCAAAGATGGCCAAGTAGGGAGCCAAGTGGGGAGGGGGTTCACATGACATTTGGACCTTCCCTTTTCTTTATTTGTTGCAATTATCTATTTAAGTTGTGCATCCCCCTTTGAAGCTTTTCTTGAAACTATTATTCCCCATTCCATTTTTGGTATGTGACGTGTCTCTCTTTACATGTTATGCAATTTGTTTGCTATAGTTAGAGAGTCATGAGCATTTGTTCCTTCTATGTTTCCTAGAAGTCCTTTGCTACTTTAGTTTGGTTTTATCCTCTAAGCACTTCTTTGTTCGTAGAATCTTTTAACATCAGTTTCGATATCTTGTGTGTTACAACATATTTCATATAATTGAAAACATACCATTCACAAGAGATTAGTTTTACTGATCGAACCCTTATTGGTTGAACTAAATGAACCAGGTATCTCCTAAACCATAGAAATTTTCTGTGTTTCGCCTTTTGTTTTCTTTGTATATTGATTGTCTGTGGTTTTTGTTTTAGTTTTTGGTTTTTGTTATTTTAAAAACCATTTTTCTTCCAATCAAGTTTTTGTTTTTGTAAAAACTATTTTTCTTACCAATCAAGTTTTTAAAGAAATAGATTCCCTAAAATTTAAGGAAACTAGTTTTTCAAAATTTTAACCAATTTGTAAAGAAAAGCCAAAAACCAACTTTTGCTGGTTTTTAATACAAAAACGAATTTCATTTCTTTCTGTAGAAAATCTATATTTTAGTTAAATAAATAATATTTTCATAAAGATAAATTCCATACAATTGTTTGTAGATAATATATCATTCCAACCTTAATTTAAAATAATTTATTTGTGTTTCATATATGTCTAGTAAATTGGATATTTTTATATAACATTAATTAATTGCAAACAATTAGTTATCAATTTTTACAAAAATTCATTGAATAACTGTAATAATTATTAGACACACTAAACAGTAACTAAAAATTGTAAAAACTTAATTACTTTAATAATAAAATATATAATATTAAATTGAAAATATCCCTTCAAGTTTTAAAATAAATATTAACAAATAATAAAATTTATAAATAGTTTCAAAATTTTAAAATATTTTAATTTTTATAATTTATAGAAAGTTTATTGTTTATATTTTAGTATAATATTTAAAATAAAATAATTAAAAACATGTTAATACATTTTATTTTAAATAACAATCACTCTATTTTGATAAATTTTAAATATTTCATTATTTTTTATTATTATTTTAAAATAAGGTATTGATTATTTTTTGAAAAACTAAAAATACAGAAAAACCAAAAACCAAATCTAAAAACTAAAAACTAAAATCAAAAGCTAAAAGTTGAAAACAAAAACCTAAAATCTAAAAACCAAAAACCAAAATCTAAAACCAAATCTAAAAACCAAAAACTAATGCAAACAATCATCATAGTTTTTTTTTCCTCTGGCTTTCTTTAAACTGTATTCCACGTCATCAGAGACCAAACTACACAATTCGTTTGAATGCAGAACTAAAACGTCAACTTTTGTTGTTCTGATCGGCTTCATAAAATTATAACTAAAGAGCTCTAGTCAGAATTATTTCCTCAATTATATGAATCATAATAAAAATATATATGGGGACAAAGAAGATCAAGAGGATGATTGTATGTGAAGGGGAGATGAATCCATTGTATTTACCCAAAGCTATATATTCTTGTACGGAGCAGAGTACCTAATTCCATTTTTTCTCTTGGTCCCACCTTCCCTCAAATGTTTATCCATTTTGTTAGAAACAAATGTAATTTCTTTTTGCTTTTTAATGAGCTACGATGTCTAGTACAGTATATAAACTTACAATTTCCTTAAATAAATTCAAGTCTTATGTAGTAGACAATGATCTTAATTACTTAAAATCGACCAAAACACGGAACTCATTTGATTAGGGGTGGGTCACGGACTCACAACTCAATGATCTTTCAACTCCTTCCCACCAAATTTATTTATAATTGACCTTTATATGTACGATTCAAATATCCACAATAATTTATTATACTACTGAAAATTCATAAACTCAAATATAAATTAAACTAGTCAAATATGCGACAGCTAAGCTTTTTGTGACATAAAAAAGAGAGAAAGATTAGATCAAAGCTTTATTGTGATTCATACTAATCATACACCCCAATATACTATTCTAAGCTATTGACATACCATTCTTTAAGATAATTTAACAAACTAAATATTTTTGTACAATTTAATTTCATGAGGCATTTAATCGCTGATATCGTCCACGTCACTGACCTTATACCAAAACGTTACAACATTCACAGAGATATATGCTTTACTTCTCCAGACATATATTTATCGTAATTACCTTTATCTTCTTCACAAAAATGCAATAATCTGCGTTTGCGCAACAATGAATTGTGGGTCCATCTCCGTTATTAACGTATTATCAAAAGCTATAACAATTATAGTGGAGAATAAATGGTGACATGTTACCTGGCCTCATGGTTGTGTTGATTATGCAAGGTTACCAAATATATATTAGTTGAAAGTCAGTTAGGTGTATTTCAAGGTGTCCTTAACGTAGAACTGGGCCATGCAAAAATGCAAATGGGATCAAGACAACGAATGAGATGTTTTTGAAGGACAAAATTGTCAGCACGATGCATCCTCCTCGTTGCTTCTGCATGGACCCAAATTTCATCCTATTTTTAGTATATTCCAATTTCATCTCAACCGTTCATTTTGGCTTCTTATCTTCCATTGCACAATTTTGGTATAGAAATTATATATGCGTCGATAGATATTTATATGTCTCCATCTAACTATATTATATAGTGGTTTATGTTGGGATAATCAGGTTGGCCTACTAAATTTAATCAAATCCAATGGAGTGGTCATTAAAAAGCATGGCCTAACTTAGGCCACCTTACCAAAACTAATTAAGCATTGTATTATATTAACATCCCTTAAATTAACACTAATGTGTGGTTTCCCCTGACTTCTTACATTATAAAAAAACGTGACACATAGCGTGGATATATTTAATAAACTCAAACCTAACTTTTCAACAAACTTCATTGCAAACCTAATTCATACTATTATATTATTTCTCGATCAGATCAGCTAAGTATATTATGAATTTATGATATTATATAGTTCTAACTGTGATTTGTTTTGGCGGATTTGTGGGGATTTTCTTACAGTCGTCGTTTTATTTGGAATAAGCTGATCATTTTGTCACCTTTTATAATTAAATCAGTGTTTTTTTTTTCCTCATTTAAGATGTTCAAACAGATTTATTCTTCTGTTTCCTGTTGAACAAGTTTCACCATTTTTATCAACTACAAAGATGATTTGTTGGCATAATGTCCCTTTTCAACAACAACATATATTATTTTGAAATATTATTTTTGTCAAAACCATATATTAGTTGGCGGATACTATTTTTCCATTACCCTAATGTCATGGCTTTGAGAATATAAATAGATACCAAAACAAGTTAGAAACTTAGGCCTATATCATACCATTACATCATTCTTTGCACAATTTTTATGATTGACCAAAATAATAAAACAAAAAATGGTTAGTAAAGTAAAATTGACCTTTATAAACGAATATATTCGGGTGTATCACAAGCCTAATAAATGGACTTACGTTTAACTGTTTT